GGGGGGGAGTAAGTGTCCTGGGAGGAATTGAGTCAGTGAGGGTAGACCAGGAGGTACAGAAATGTGAAGGTCTTATCAGCACTTGTATACTTCTTGTCAAATGATTGAGGAGGCAATAAGGGAAACATTCTTTTGACTCTCACTTAAGTATAATAAGCTGTTCATCAATTTAAAGAAACAGAACAATATACATGTTATAATTGTATCCTTTGGGATAGGCATCACTCTATGTGTCTATTTACCCTACCTATACACTCTTGTGTATCAAAATCCTTTCATAAACAAACAGTTGCCAACATAGTTGAAATGAAAGGCAGAGATCACAAAATTTGAACCATTCACTACTCAGCAGTATTCATCAATTTGTTTTTAGATTTAATTACAGCTTGCAGTTATTCAAACAATGAAGTGAATTTTATGACTTGTATTTTTTATTTAAACAGGTTCACCAGGATGACTACACTATTGATCCCCTGGAGGAATCCCCCCGTGGGGACCCCCTCGCTGTGTCAGAGCCCCAGCCACTGTATCACTTGGCCAACAGTCTGTACAAACAGTGTTCCTCACACACTACAAATTAAGCAGACAACCACTGTGTACTGACAGCACTTCCACACTGTGTTCATGCATTTCTAATCTCCGGTTGGCTTTAATCTGTAATCTATAATTTTTCATACTTTCATTTACACAAAGTTTTTTCAACAACTGTTACATCCTTCCTGTGTTGTGCTTGTTTCATGAACTTTGAAGTGAGTTAGGGCCCAAGCTGAGAGAACAACTGTACCTGGATAGCATACCTGTACAAGGACATACCTGAGTTTTTTTTCACCTGGGAATTTCATTTATACACGTGGCAAAAAGGAAAAACCTCAAGTCAGTGTTACTGCCTGTGTTCAATGGGTTATTACACGTTTAAGGAAGCACATGGAAAAACGTTTTCTTAATGTTCTGGTGTTGCTCAACTTAGCAGAGTTGCAGGGATTTAAATTCCAAGGTTTTTTGAAATTTGTAATGAAACAGGTAAGTTATTTTAATTTTTGTCAATAAAATAAATTTGATCAAATACAACAAAAGTAAATACAAAAACTGTTAATACAAATAAACAAGGTTACCGCGAGCGGTATATAATACGCCCGTCACACATTGAATGAGCAGTTGTTTGTATGATTGAAATATATGAAGTATTTGTGAGTAATTGATATTAAAAGAGAAATCATTCAACAAAACTAACTGGTAGATCGATGAGTGCAATACAACATCATGGAACGCATGCATCGCATTAATGAAACCAAGGGTAATAACTCCA